TTTATTTTGGATCAAAATGGTTACTTGGGTCTCATCTTCCTATCCTTATCTCTCAAACAAGACACTGTTTCCCGTAGTCAAGGTCGTTGGACTAGACTTCCTTGACAAGGGGAACCACTCTCCATACAATATGCAAGGATTGCCGCCCTATTGAAAGCCAAGAAAATTTAGAATTGGGTTACTGTGAAGGGCTCCATAGGTATGAAATGAAGCGAATCACAAAGGATTCAATGAATTGCCAGTGGCGTAGCTATCGAGTGTGCAGGCGGTGCGGCAGCACCGGGGCTCACGGCCGGAGGGGCCCAGGCTCCGAGCTACGAAGAGGGGGAAGGGGGGAGGGCGTTGTTGGTTGGCTGGAAGCCCCTTAGCATGGAAACGAGGTGAGTGCCGGAAACCGAATAGAAGGTCAAATGGAATCAAAGGAATTCTACGCGACACTGCACAGGGACATCTTGCAAGTGGAATGCCGCTTACTAGGATCAAATGAAGTGATGGCCACTTTCAATGCTACTCACCCTTTTACACTGACTTCAGCTAGTAGACAGTGGCAACCGCGGAGTTTTTCAAAACTCAAACTTATCAAGAATTGTTTAAGAAGTACAACGTAGCAAGAACGACTCGGTCCCGCTCTTTTATCCATAGAAAATGAACGTGCGAAGAAATTAAATGACTCTAAAATCGTCGATGTCTTTGCTTGGGAAAAAGAGGGGAAGAGGCCACTTCACTTGGTGAGTGCACATTTTTTTAACCTTGCCAGTAATTACATAACTCAGTGATAAGAAATTGTACAGGGGGCCCAATTTCATTCCTTGCTCCAGGGCCCATGCCAACCACGCTACGCCACTGGTACTTACATTTTCGTAACCGCTTATCCCACCTAATGGGGCCGCGGTTCGAGCAGGTTCGGAAGCATCTTCTGTGTTCGTGATCCTTGGCAACGGACTCGAGCTTGACCGGGTGGTTGTATGCCAAGCCTCTCGTGGCAAAGGTTCGCAGTGTAGTCCGACCACCTTGCACGAGACCTACCGATTGGTCTTTGCCGGTCAATTTAGATTGGGAGACTCTCTTAGGTAGTCTCTCAGGAGGCATGCGGGAGACATGTCCAAACCAACAGGCTTGGGATCTCTCGATCAGAAGAAGTAGTTACTCGATCTGGAGGTCTTCACGGATGGCGGCGCTCCGGTTCCATGTACCGCAAATTTAATAGTTCATCTGAAAGATGTAAATGTTAGCAAGTATTGGAGGCACTTCTAGAGGGTAGGGTACGAATTCTATCTGAAAGCAGTGTGCCGAATGCCTGTCAACAACAATCATACGATGTCTCATACGATGCACTTTTGTGGTGAGGCTGAAATAAAAATCATACTAGCATACAGAACGACTTTGAGTATGTAGTACACATACATCTCTGCATTGTGACATGTTGGGAACTAAAGGGTGGGGCATAATTTACTTGCCCCGTTCGTTCCCCCTATGTCCCGATCTGTCCCAAATAGGCTGCAACATTGTAATTTATAAACCAAGATGGACACCAGTTTGAGCATCTCCTGTGAACACTTTCCTATTAAATGTGTGCTTCATCATTTCTATGTCTATATCATTTAAGTGTGTCTATATCATTTAAGAAATATTTCAGCGATGAACATTTTAATAACGTCCCAATCTGCATAACAATATTGCCTCAACATTGTAAAAGTATTGAAATTTCAATATCAGTCATGTTGCAGCAAAGTTGAAGAAATCGATTTAATCGATTCAATGCTAAATTTTCTCAACATCAATGACTCAATGTCCCGTGCGACAGGACTTCTGTTTCCGCTGTGCGAAACCTAATACGCATTAGGTTGCAATTGTTCCCATATAGAATCCAGCAGGTGCACGAACTGCTGCCTGTGGACAACAAACTCGTCAGATATTTGCCCTTCAATGTGCTGCACAAATGGATGAGGACACAAAAACTTGATAAGAGTGTTCAGAGTCAAACACCCAACAACTACACTAATTGTAACTGGGATCCGCATGGATGCAGAGGACCAGAGGATTATAGAGGGATTAAAAATACGTCACACAAAGACACCTTGACCCGGTAAGTTTATAAATGAAAGGAAGTGACCAACGTTTCGAGGACGCAAGGTTCCTTTCTTCAGGGTATCTAAAGGAGAATGAAAAGAAAATTGTGTCAAGTAAAATTGAACGTAGTACAATAAAATAGGATACAACAGAGTAAAAAGAGAGATAGGAGATAAAAAGAGGAGTCACAAAAAGAGTGCTTAAAATAAAATAAAAAGGAACTGAGGATACACAGTCACAAGGCAAGAGTACGGTGCAATGGAGAAGAAATGAATGGAGAGAAGGGAGACAGGTCACTGATTTTTTTTTTTACAAGTAATTAAATAATGACAAAGTTGGAGCAGGTCAACGCGGAGAAAAAAAGAAGCGATGATCAGTATGTCGGTTAAACAGGCAGACCTTTCAGGGATCATGCCGAGGAACACATTCGTTTTACCAAACTCAAGTATAATAAACGTTTTAATACCAAAAAATCATGAACTCACCATCTCGCCTACAGTGTGCAAAATTCGTCGACCCACTCTACCACAAGTGACGTGATAAATTCTGGACCGAAAAATCGAATTCCACAAGCAACTCAAAAATATAGTCAGACGACCTTACATTCCCTCCCACCCCCCCTGCCCAGCGTCTCTCCCTTCATTTTTTCTCCATTGCACTGCACTGTATTCTTGCCTTGTGACTGTCTCTTCAGTGCCTTTTTTTTTAAATCTCATTTTCTCCCTTGGTGATTTCCCTTTCATCTCTTATCTCTCTTTTGACTCAATCATATCCTATTTTATTGTATTTCGGTCTATTTTACTTGACTTCAATGGTTTCTTTTCATTCTCCTTAAATTTTTTTCATTGCTGGACCTTGCGTATCCGAAACGTTGGTCACTTCCTTTCTTTTATAAACTTAACGGTTCGAGGTGTCCTTGTGTGATATATTTTATCCGACACAACTTGGCCTCATCGGATCCGGTGGACCGACGAGGAGCGCATTTTTATTTGCATGGCTTCGTTCAGGACCGGCAAGGTAAAATGTCGGACCCTTTGCGATAAATGGGGGCGCTAGGTTTGGGAGGTTTCCCTGCCACTATATTTTCGATTATCAAGGATACGCAACAATAATTTTTTTAATTTATTTTTTATTTACCGAGGATATAAAAGGAATCTGTTCAAGTTGTTCAAAGGTTCCCTGCTTGCTTTCTCAAAACCCTTCCTACCAACTCATCTATGACCTTGAAACTCAATGACCTGCCAACATCTCTTTCCATAGACAGCACAACTAGTCCTGTCAGGCATCCTTGTGACATGATCGATCTGAGATACGTTTCTTTTAAATTCAGTTTGGAGAAGTTCCTCTCAGCAGATAGTACTGTCTCTAGAACTATGAGTCCTAAGAGCAGAGGATTAGGATACACTGTAGCGAGACCTCTCGTAAAGGAATTGCAGAGGTTCAATAGCATCAGGACGCTCTGTGGAAGTGAAGCGGAATTGCTGTCCTCACCGATGAGGTTCACCCCAGTGGTACCACTCCGTACACATTTGAACTCGTCCCATGGCACTGCCTTCTCACACGATAAGTCTTAAACGAGGGCCTTACGCTTTGTGTCCAATTATAGTGTGGGCTCAGGTCTCCAACCAAGATAGTTGTATCCAGACATGCCGATCAGACATCAATAATGAGAATATAGCGGAATAAATTGAAATTCGAACCGCAATTTTTATCACTTCCCCTTGTGGCAGTTTCCCTGATGTACAGTACGAAAATCCTCACTTATCCTCAGGACAAATCAAGTAGATAAATTTGATAGAAATGATCTGAGGTTGGAGATCAGAGCCCACGGGAGACATTTACCGTCGAAGGTATGCACTGACTGAAGTCGACAAAGAGCACTGAAGATGCCTAAAGACATCCCTAAGATGCCCCAAAGACATTCTCCTTAAAAAAGCTTAACTACCTGGAGATAAGTTTCCTATCTTGCAGTTTTTCAAGAAAAGGAATTCTTGGGTATTCACATCTGATGGATCAGCAACTTAGCCCTGGGAAGCCTTGGAAGGTCAAGTAGAGAAACCTCAGAAAAAAAGGGTTGCCTTGCATGGTAAGAAATGAATTCATTTCGGAAAGAAAGGGGCATCCATGGGATGTCTTTGCATCTAGATATTTTATGTCCCTAGTAATTAACTCTGGGACTTCTCTCTTGTCCCAAACAAGGCCGGATTAAGTGGGGAGGGGGGGCAAAGGGGCCTGTTGCCCCGGGCCCCACTCTTCCAGGGGGGCCCCCGAAGGAACTTAAAAGCGTTAATTATTTGCGTGAAGTGCGGGGGGTAGCTCCAAGAACTCACTTGCCCCGGACCTCGCAACTTCTTAATCCGGCCCTGGTCCTAAGGGGATATCTCTGGGACACCTTTGGGATGTACTTTAGCTGTGTAGATTCCGAGACGAAAGAGACATTACCTCTAGATCTTCCGATCCACTTTCACGCGAGTCATTAGATAAGCCAATATATCACACGGAATGCAAAGTCAAAGGATGATTAACACCCAGGAGTCCAAAGGTGGTTGCAAACTCCCTTAGGACTTCCCAAAGGGACAGTGGGTTGAGGCAACCCACTGCCCTTCACTTCACCCATTTCAACCCCTTGGACTTCCGAGCGCTTCCGAGGGTTAAGCGTAGGAAAGCGGGAGACAAACATTTTCGTGGGCGCCTGTCTCAAGGCAAGAAATGCAGCTTGGGGGCTATTAGAAGTGAGAAGTAGGGGTTTATAAAATCCCCTAAGCGGGAAAGCGCCGTCGATGTTGCTTGGCTTACCTCTTGCTCACGGTAGAGATCGGACTTGCATTCGTGAGCAAATAGACTGCAGCTGGACAGTGGCTCAGTTGCTTCACGAATGTCATTCTCAATTTATTTAGATTTAACGTTTGTTAATATTCGTCAAAGGCACACTACGAAGCAGCTTCTGCCTGTGTGAGGATGCATTTTATGTTACTTGAGGACACCGTGTGTAGTACATCACAGGTATGTTATTTACTCAGTTGGGAATGCATCGGACGTTCGGACGTGAAATACCCATGAATCTAGCCGGATCGCTTCTCTACCACAGGCTGTCGCTCGGCATAGCTAGGCCAGCAGGGGCACGCACAAGTCGGCGGACATCTCTCAGCAGAAGCACACGAGTTGGCCGAACAGGCCTAGCGTTAGTTCATTTAGGCATACAACTTCCGCTAGCGGAATATAAATTTTGGAACTGTATTGCTCATCAGCAGGCGCAGCCTTCTGGTATTGCTTGGGAATTCCACTGAAGTCCTCTGTATTATTTTTCAACATCTCACATGTCTATAAAGACTACTAACAGCCTAACTACTGCCTCAACTTGGATGTTGATATGGAAAAGCCAGTACTTTCCTTAAGTTCTTACATCTTGGTGTGTTTGTAGAAGACACAAGCCCTCCTTGGGGTGGTATAGATAGAGAGAGAGAAAAGGAGGAGAGGTAGGTGGATATTATAGATGACTGAGTTTTCCTGCCATTCTTGGAAATGCATGGGCACAAGAGATTGAAGGAGGACTTGGAGTCTGTTGTGGGAAAGGAGGAGTTGAATGAATCCTCAGAAGGAAAAGAGGATGCTATTGCTACAACTTTTCAACCGGCCACCAGGCGTGAAATCTTGCAATGCATCATGGAAAGTTACAAATTCCAGGTGAGGAAATGGCTGCCTTTTGACATGATCTGGTCAACTTTCTCCTATGTCTGTGATCAAATTATTTCTTTTTGGTTCTAGGTTGCTGTGATAACTCTTGTCATTTTTGACTCCCTCTTGGTGATATCAGAGCTCCTAATTGACCTAGAGATCATAGTGATCCTCAAGTCTGACTCTTTTCTTGTGCCTGACATCATCCACTACACCAGTCTCACCATCCTCTCTCTCTTCCTTGTGGAGATTGCACTAAAGATGTATGTCTATCAACTGGCATTTTTCACCCTCAAGTTGGAGGTTTTTGATGCTATAGTGGTGATAGTGTCATACATCCTTGACATCATCTTTCGTCATCAACATGATTCCACTGATGGCATTGGTCTTCTAATCATGCTAAGGCTCTGGCGTGTTGCTAGAGTGCTCAATGGTAGGTCTCAAGTCATTTTTATGCATGAAAGGAGAAAATTGATAGCATGTAGGTACAATAGTGACCTAGGTCAAACATAGGTACAGTGTTGGTTTTCACAGCTAGCTATACATGCATGCACATGTGCAGAGTTAATGTAGCAAAAATTTTCTTGCATGAAAGATTTTCTTCTGAAGATATACTAGCTTGGATGTAGTTTCTGATGCAGTGAGAAACTTAGGCCTATGCATCCTTCCCCCCATAGAAGAGCTTCTAAAAATAGACAGGTCCAGCTGCAAAGATATTATACTTCTGTCTTTGTTCTTAATGCTTTCAAAATTCTGGTTGAGATCTAGCTCAGATTACTGAGTAAAATGTGTCATTTTTTAACCTCCCATATCCATGTGTATATTCCTTAGCCAGCTTACTTATGTAATCTTTCCCATTCACATTTCTGGCTGTTTTTGATGCCTTCAGGAGTATGTTTTCTTTGAGAAGCTTGTTTTTTGGGGGAACTGAAGAGAAGGATTAAAGATTGAAGAACTTGAATATATGCACAGCCCCAGATACAGGGAGGTTCAGTTGGAGTGCAGTCTAACATGATTCAGGCTTTATTTGTTGTTGGAAACTAATACATCTTGCTCTAGGACTATCTATACACTGTAATTTAAAAAAATGCACTCCTGATAAAATATGTTATGCATTCAGTACAACACTCCTAGTAGAAATTGTTGAACCCTAATTAAAAGAAGCCAAAATTTGCTACTCACATCTGGATTTTATGCAATGTTGAACAATCATAACCCCTGAAACAGCAATTTCAAAACTTATGTTCAAAATTGTTTCCACCAATACCTTGCTAATGAAGTTCATTCGATCCATTAGTCACTGAGACTGCATCTACCTTAACCCTCAAGTCAGTATTCCAAGTACTTGTTCAGTAAAATAACAAGCTTGAGGGATTAATGGCTTGGGCTATAAAAATGCCTTTTGAATCATTTATTCATAATTTTGTTTCAATTACTGTGGAATTATTGATAACATGTGCTGTTTGTTTACCTGCTAAGTATTTTTTTTTTTTAAGGTTGCCTCCTTTTTCCAAATCTCATTAAAAAAAACTCATCATTTCTCCCAACTTTAGGAATGGACATCGCAAACCTTTCATTCATTGCTGAAATTCCACAAGACAGTCATGGCAAAGCCATCCTTCTTTGTCTCCTTTGCTTTAGTAAACATTAAATGAGGACTTGCAGGAGTGTCAACTGGGTACAAGGGAATATGTAGGATTTTTCTTGCCTGCTGTTTATCCACCACTCATTTTTTTTCTTGGAATGGTGTTTAAAATTGTCAAGTATCTGCATTCCTAAAAAAAAAAGTAAAATCAGGACACTTTAGGTGATGGCTACTTAGCCCAGACTATTATTATTTACCCTTCTAGTAGGTTCAACATGACTGTTATGTCTGCTTTGGTATATCTACAGTACAAATTAAACATTACAGTGATGCCCAGTATCCTAGTGCACTTTTATGGAAACTCACAGGTAGGAATTAAACTCTACCCTTTATACAAACTTGTTTTCTACTTGATTCTCATGCTGTTGCACAGAACTGCTAACATATTACCACTGCAGGGGATGATTGGCAATTTAAAATTACTGGCTTGAAAGGTTAAAATCCTTCCTGAAGATTTCTTCGATGATCCTAGCTGTCAAGTAATTGTACATTTCTCAGAGTTTTCGTCTGTGCTGGCAATAGTATATGATATGGCATGTAAATTACAAAACTGTAGAGTGCTCACAGGTGGTCCAATAGGACTACTCATGGAATCATTTTTTTTTGGAGTTTCATGGAAAGGGCTTGTTGCATGACTATGCTGCTTGAAAATGCTGTTGTACATTCTCATCTCATCAGGTACAGGAAACAATGAAACCCTTCTCTGCATGAAGCTCCAGTGCCATGTATCCTGAATTGGAACCTAATAGCCACCAGTATTCTAATTATTTCTGATATGGAGATCAGCATCAAAAACACCAGCCATCAAATACAATTCCCAGATTTTCATTCATACGATCTTAATGAAAACTGCCAGTGTCCTTTTGCATTGACAATGCTACCTATGGTCCTGAATATCAGCACAAACTGCAGCATCACATCTTCTCTCCAGGAGGATTTTTATTGAACCTTTTGCAAAACACTGATAGCCCAGTCATTATGATCAATCCTCTGTTTCTGCCTTCACCATTACTCCTAAAATGATGTTCAACTAGTCAATATTTTTCTTTCAGTGTTAACTGAAATATATCTCTTCCACAATTCCTATAACAGTGTTCCCCAAGCCAAGCTTTCTATTCTTTTTATTCCCAACAAGATTGAGAACGATTTTTATGTTTTCGCATAATTCCCATCATTCATGACTAAGAATCTTATGATGACAATGTCTTTTATAAGTTTTACTCACATTTTTATTTTTATGGGCTGTGATAGATCTCAATAGTACCCACTGAAAGTTGAGAGCTTCATTCTTTTTGTAAACACTGATTCATGTTTCCTCTAGGTATTGTATTATCTGTGAAGAAAGAATCAGAGCACCGGTTTGTCAAGGAGCGAGAGCATCGTCGGGCTATTGAGGAGGAGCTAAGAAAGTACCGGGAAGTGTGTGCAGCCCAGGAAGGGGAGATAGAGGCATTAAGGCAATGTTTGGAGAAGCACAACATCCCAGGAATAGAAGTCCCTTGCTCAAGGAAGAAGAATGGCATGATGTAAGGAATGGGTTAGATGCTATAGAACATTATTTAACATATTGAGATGAGGAAGTCTAAACCTACTGCAGTTGACTTTGTTTATTGGGATACTCATAGGACCAGCAAGCTTTATTCTATAATCCAGAGTATTCTAATAATCAAAACTATCTGCTGTATCATACTGTAAATTGGAACTGTGCAATAGTATTCCATTATGCAGAATTGATTGTATCTCAATATTCAATAATTGTGGCCACAAAACTAAAATTAACTTCCTGTCAGTGAATGAAGTACATGACTGGTGTAAGACAATCTGTTAGACAAAGACTGCAGATTTTGTTCTAAATAAAACAAACAAAATTTTTTTTTGAAGCAATACAGCAAGTGAGGTGAAAAAATATACCACACTCTGAAATTCTTTTGGATTCATGAGGCAGCAGTTATTTCAACAAATATTTATTTAGTTAATGATTTCTATGCATTCTCTTAACATCTTAAAATTCTTGCCCATTTTTCTCCTGCTGTTTATCACTTGAATGACTTTACAGAGCAACTTTAATATAATTTTCATGCGAGGAAAGTACTAGCAGGACTGTGGTTATTACATACAATATAGACCAGTTTTGGGCTGGAGCTCCTTTATCTGTTGATGAGAATGTTTCTCCTCATAAAGAAATCGGGACGAGCCATGGGAGGAATCCTGGTCGGGGTGAGGAAAGGTTTGGCAAACTATATTAAGATATTGGAGTCACCTGGTTTAGATACTGTGGTACGGATTCTTTTGCAAGGCAGGAAAGATTCTATGATAATAGCCATCTGCTATCGCCTCCCCCGGGGATCCCCCATGGAAGACCGCAGTTTCTTTGGAAAACTGGGAGAGGATCTACTCACTCTTCTAGGGGAGCACAGAAACACAAAATGGATGTTAATGGGAGATTATAACGTTCGTGTGGGAACTCTAACAGAGGAATGGTGGTTGCATGAAAAGGATGCCACAGAATATGGTTGCAGGGAATCAGCTGATGAAGTAATATCTTCAGAAGTGAGGGAACTACAAGCTTTCTTGAGAATATCAAGAGGTCTATTAGTTAATGGCAGGTTTGGCTGCGATTCTTTCCATTTCCCATATGTGGGTAGCAATGGAGCTAGTGTGATAGATCTCGCCATGATAGATGTTGACTTGTGGTATAGGATAGTGCACTTTCAGGTGGTAGATTTCGAGGTCTCTGATCACTTCCCAATTATCTTAGAGATGAGACTCCTGGAGGATAAGGAAGAACAGCCTAAGAATAGTGAAAATAAATTACAGAGCTGCTACTGGAATAGGTTTACAATAGAAAGAGTAGAAAGAGAAAGGAAGACCCCCTGGGTACAAAACCTATGGTCATATTGCGCAAGGGCAACAGAAACCTCAACCTTGGCAGTTGAGAAAATAATACAGTTGCTAAATTTTAGCCTGGCACATATGACTGGCGAATTGGGGCTGAGAGACAGCAGAAGTGTGATGAAAAAGGAATCTTGCACCTGGTTTAATGATAGATGTAGGAAAGCAAGGAAAGATACCAGATCATGCCTACGACAGTTTAAAAGAGATCCTTCTGTACATAATAGGCAGACACTAATGAAGGCAAGGTCTACATACAAACAAGTAATAAGGGAAGAAAAGGAAAATGGAAACATCACATTTGTAAGCAAGCTATATGAAATGATGGCCAAAAACAAAACAAAGGATTTCTGGGGCGCACTCCGTAGACTTAACAAACCACATGCAGAAAATGAATTAGAACAAATTAGTGCCAACAGGTGGGTAAACCACTTTAAATCCCTTTTATTCCAAAGGGAGACCAATAACCCAGGTATGGCATTCATTTATCGTGTAGACGAATTCTTGGATGGCCCCTTTACTAAGAAAGAAGTGGCGGAAGCCATCCAAGCACTCAAACTAGGGAAAGCAGCTGGTCCTGACGCCTGACCCAATGAGCTCTTGAAATATATAGCACTGGATTTGCTAGATCTGCTGACAGCAATAGCAAATCATTGTCTGGAAGAGGGGCATTATCTAGATGAATGGAAAAGAGGGATGCTTGTACCCCTATTCAAGGGTAAGGGAAATCCCTAGATACAAATAGCTATAGGGGCATTTCTTTGTTGTCCAGCTTCCATAAAATCCTTAGCAACATGACAGAGAAATGACTCAGGGAGTGGTTTGAAGGGCATGAGTTCCTATCCCCCCTTCAAGGGGGTTTTAGATCAGGGGGAAGCACAATGAAGCAATCCTTACTGCTGGAAACTCTTATAGCTAAATATGTAAAACTTGGCAAAGGAGCCTTGTTAGTTGCCTTTGTGGATTTTAAAAAAGCATTTGACACAGTGGACTGGTCTCTCCTATGGCAAAAGTTAGATTACTATGGAGTTAGTTCCAAATTTTTAAATCTGATCAGAGCAATGTACCAGGGCACACGATACTATGTGCATGTCAACCGTTGATGGGCCTCAGAAGATTTCCATGCGAATATGGGGGTAAAACAAGGATGTACTTTATCACCACTTCTATTCCTAATCTATATTAATGATATTCTCGGAGAATTAGCACATTGGGATGCCAAAATGCCAAAACTGGGAACATGGGAAATACCAGGACTTCTGTATACAGATGACCTCACAATCACATCTCTAACCCCAGTGGGGCTCCAAAGGATGCTAAACCATTTAGCATCTTTTTCAAAAAAGAATAAGCTGAAAGTTAACATACAGAAGACCAAAATTATGCCATTTTCGAGGGACACAAAATGCAAGGCCCAAAAGTTTTTATATTTACACCAGCAACTAGAAGTAGTCAATCATTTCATATACCTAGGGGTGGTGTTCTCTACTAGAGGTCAATGGACAGATCATATGCACTCCTGTTGTAGTAAGGCCAAAGCTGCAAACGCAGCTCTAATAGGACTGTTTTGGAAAATTCCTTCCTTCTCTATCCAAAAGGCTACGCAGATATGGAGTATGATAGTTGCAACTACCCTTCTGTATGGTGCAGAATTAGTATGGATTCATGATATGAGGTACCTTGATGTTATATCTGCTTATTTCCTGAAAGGACTCCTAGGACTGCCTCTCTCAATTTCCAATACTCTAATCCTGTCACTCTATACACCGCCTGCAATCAGAGTGTTGGCAGGGAAACGTCGGCTAGGATTATGGTTGAAACTCAGACAGGCACCCAAAGGGTCTCTGATTGAATCCGCCCTGAGCGAACAGTACAAAATTATGCTCAAAGGTAAAGATTGCTGGTCAATCAGAGCTTTCTGCCAGGAATTTGGATATTCTTATGTTTGGCACTTTGGCCCCCCCACCAAGTCCTTTATAAGAGTAATGTTTTGTTCATGTCAGATGCAAGCAGAGAATGAATGGCGGACTCAACTAGAAACAACACCTTCTTTTGACCAGCTAGAAGTGGCACTAGAGCTTGGATTGGAATGTTCAAGTATCATTGACCTTGACAGAAAAGCAGGTCCCTTACTCAGATTTGTCATGCAAGCCTGGAAGTTCTCTTCCATTAGTGATTCATGGGGCAAACACATGTGTCCCCTATGCACACACCAGGATTCCAGGGAACATCTACTATTTTGGTGTGAAGAACTTGACAAAGTTAGGAGACAGTATGCTCCGACACTCATTAATAGACCAGTACTACCAGTTCCTGCTTTTTTGGCAAGCTGCAATATAGAGGAAATCAATTCGTACCTGAAAGTCGCACTATGGAAGAGGCACACTATGTGCGCTAACATAGACGTGATATAACTGGCTATGGTCAGAATTCTCCCTCCCTCTTTCTGAGTACACCTTTGTTTTTGTGGTATATAAAAAATTTTTTTTTTTTCTATTTTCTGTACCCTCTTCACATCTTATGCCCTCCTTGAATACTGAAAAACCTAATGATAAAGTTTATAGACTCAATGTTGTAGTTTGCATGCCTTACCAAATCCCTGGACGGGTAATTGCTGATCAATACTTCTGAATATGTGTTTTAAGTATGAAATTTCCTTACTATTGCTATTATTAATAGTATGAGATGTACTTTGTTTTGTATCACACCTTGTAGCCGAAAGCATTGATTGAGAATGTTTCTCTGCAAAAGGATGAGGTGGAGCAAGAATATAGGGAGAATTTTATGTTGAGGAATAGAATAAATGCAGGCCTATCTTTAACTGATTGATTCACAAGCCTCAAGAAACTGTGTTTATGTAGAAGATGGCATGTGTTGATCATTGATCATATTTTAGCTGTCATTGAAGAAAAGTATTGTGAATTGCACAATCATCTTCACCATTAGATGCAAAACCCAACCACCTTTTACAAAACAGGCATGAGAGCAACAAAACTGCCCCCATATGCTAATTGAAATTGTTTTTGCTCATTGTCAAGAGAAATTTACCATTCTCTTGTACATATTTCTTTTTCAGGATGGATGTTGTGGCTGAGGTGAATCAAAGCAATGAGACTCAAAAGGTGATTGGGCAAGCTGCACAGCAGACATGAATGTTTGATTGACAGGTGACTCAGCATTCCACAAAAGACCTGGGCTGTCATACTTCTGCTGTCATTTCTTGTCCTCTGTGCCAAAGCCTTTCCTTCTGCAATCTTACCAAAGTTACTTTTCTGACTGAATTGTCATAAAAAATCCAAGAATCTCTAAATAAACTAAACTGTAGCTTATTTGAAAGTCCTGGTAATGGTAAGTTCAACATTCATTCTTTTCGCTTAATTTCAATGTGATTCAAGTCTTTTATACAAACTGTACAAATAGCAGCTGGGTGAGTTCTGACTTTCAACAGCAGATATTTTGAAATCTTCATCAACTTCTATGCTTAAAAAAAGGATATTACTTCTTATCTCCAAATATTCTCATGGAAACTCTGAAGTACCTGTTGCACTTTCTGTACATATATTTTTAGTCCATTCCTTAAGGGTCCGAAATCTGATGTCATATTACACTTCCATGTTTATGGAATCTCATGAGTGACATTTTTATGTTGTGCCATATCCTGATGCAATTCTTTTCAACATGTACCTGAGTCCCAGTGCTGGGAATAAATAGGCCTATTATACCTTTATGGGGTGGACAAGAGAAGCTCCATCAAATCCTATGGGAGAATCACTTCATGGGAAGGACCCAATTTAGAAAGAATTAAAGCAGTTCTTTGTCAAGAACCACAGAGAACATGCCATGCCATTCTATTGCTCTAATCGCTGCAAAGTATGAACTACTTCATGCTGTGGATGGCATGCATGCTGTTTTTCTGGAATTACAAAGCCTGCAATGAGAGTTCATAAATCAGGTTTGGTTCTGGTAGCATGAGACTCCCCCCCCTCCCTCCATGTAGCTATAGCTACCATGGAAATATTAACTTTCTGCAGCATATCTTTCACCTCTCTACTTTCTCCCTCCTTACCTCTCAAGAATGACCACAACACTCTTGACATGTCTCCTCTGGATCTTTTTCTCTAGTTCATTCATTCAAAAATTTACAACATGGGACCACAAAATCTCCCAGCAGTTGAAGTAAAATAATCCTAAATAAGAGGAACATTCTACAAGTAACACTCTAGAATGTAATTTAAGGTATTATCAATAGATCACAGCAAGCCCAAATCAAGAAGGAAGGTTATCTGCATTGCCATGTTCTTTGCATGATTTTAAAACTTTTATGTTCATTTCCCTATTCTTGTTTGCTCACATGCTTCAGTGTATGTTTTACTGCCTTATGATGAATGTGTGTTGTTTCTTGTTTAAATCTGTTTCAAATGAAAAATGATACTGCAAAGTCTGTTTTTTTTTTCTTTCTATATTGTATCCAGGAGTCTCTTTTCAGTACCATGATTCTCCCATAGAATGTAGTACAGCATTTTTTGTTCATCCTAAACATCATGAAGAAACTGATTATTACATTTTGTGTCTTTTAGCCTACTGTATATTCCTGAAATCACTATGACCATGCCTTCATCCCTTTGTCTTTGTTCTCCCACTCTTTGACATTTGGGAACATATAGTATGTCAAGCCCAGAATTGCCTCAAGCTTGGCAACTCCAAGGAGGATCAGCCTCCTATGATGGGATAGTGACCCAAATACTTGTCAAAATGGCTCATATATTCTTTTAATATTTGGTTTGTCTCTCTATACATGTTTTTCTGGTTGGAGGTTGTTTTGATACATGCTTGTCAGAAGTGTGTGAAGTCTGATGGCCACTAATGGGGAAAATACTACATATTATTGATTTATATAGGTTTGTGCTTGCCATTGCCCTGTGCCAAAACAGACAGACATGGAGAAATATATATAGTCATGGAATCTGACTGCTTGTGGAATCTCTTCCTTGATGTTGCCATACAGAGTATTGTGATATGTAGCTGAATTTGCTTGACATTTTCCTTTTCTGAAATGGTTGAATGTGAAGGTCTGTAATTTTTGTGTTGGCTTATTTCAAAACCCCTACATTTGTTGTTGAGTAATGTCATCTTGAGAATACACAGGCGTAAAGCCACAGAGAAATGTTAATGTTTTGTAGATGACAGAAATGACAACATGAACATTCTTCAAATTTCTAAGTAGTGATGCAATAACACTGGTGGCTTTCTGGCCTTCAGCAGCTGTTAGTTGTGTACTAAGCAGATTTACCCTCTCAAATTTCAGGGTTTTTTTTTTCTCTTCCTTTGTCTTTAACAGCATAAGAGTAACTTTAGTTAAATGGTATCCAAAAGCATTGTCATTTTTCAGCTCTTAGGCTTCATTCTTGTTCGGTGGTCTGTGTTGCAGGAAATCAGACTATTGCATTCATGAATGTATGTATGTGTGAATATGTGTGTGTGGTGATATATATATATGTGTGTATATATTATTCTGCTTCCAGCTGCTTCGGTTGAATGTAATGCCTGAAAGAATGAAGCCAAAAAAGGAACCAAGAAAGGCCATTTTTTATACAGAGGTGTGTAGCTTTGAGCATATGCCCCTTTGATCTGGGTATCTGTTTTTCTGTCTTTGGTTATATTTGTTATAGCAGAGATGGGGTGGTAATAGGGAAGGACTTGGGGGAAGTAAGGAGAAATCTGGCCATCCCCTAGGTCAGTGGGTTTTTAATCTTTTCTTGCAATTGCACCATATTACCTGACCAAGACCTGAACTGTTCTAAAGCAAATCAGAATTCATGTAAGCTACTGTGCAATTAAGTTAGCAAAAAAGCTATGAAGTTGGGAACTTTCCAAAGCTAATCTACAGAGCAACAGATTTTTTCATTATTGATATTTGCAATTTATTAAAATTTTACATATACCAGTGACAAAAGTGAGAGGCATCCATACTGGTATATATATAAGCAGTTGAAAGCCACTGCTCTTGGCAGAAACAAAAATGCCTGATTGTGATTGAGCCCAGTTCCCTTTTACATCCTTGTTCCACCTTCCCATTTGGGGTCCTACTTCATTTATCTCTATCTCCCTCAATTCTTACTCTTTCCTGATATGTTTGGGTCAGGATATCTGCATAAGTATTTCATTCTGTTTCATTGCCCAATTCCAGGCTTTTTTTTCCCCTACTGGTTCTTATCAGCACATTCTTCACTCACCTTGGGTATGAATGGTGTGAAATATCTGTTTTATTTAACCCTGGAACTACCAGAACCCAGATGGTCATATATACAACTCTGTTTTATCTCTTTATTCTCAACAAACCTCTTTAAAATATTTTGCCTAAATGCTATCATTTCTTCGTGAAAATACATGAAGTATTGGACTTAACAGGTTTGCAGCACAGCCTACACAAAAACCTAATATTTGTATCAGGGTCTGTTGGACCCAGAACTGTAGTTTCAGGGTTAAGGCTTGAATATAGTAATGAAGGAAGTTGTGAATTCAACCCAGCTTTGGGTAATTTTGTATTGAAAGGAGATGGGAGAAGCTGAATCTCTAGGTATATTGACTGTTTACCATGAGTGTGAATCATGCCAGTACAATGTCTAATGTATTGAACCAAAATCTTGCCTGATGTACAAAAGATCTCATGAGCCACTTACATATTTTTGTGATTTTTGTAGAATGGTTTGAATGTATGTGTTTTATAAATCACAAAGCTAATGCCATTTGATTTGACTTGAATGCATAAATATAATCATTTTCCAATTTTCTCTTTTTTTCTGTACAAAGTGGAATTTATGATGTTGAACTTCATTTCAGAGTAAGGACAAGCAACAAAGCATCAGTACTCTATACCAGTGGTTCATGCTAATTCCTTTTGGTGCCTGTTGTGATGAACTTCTAAATTTGGATTGTCATTTTCCAGGTACTTCCCATCCTCTGTGGGTCTGGTCACACATCCAAAGAGCCTGTTGGGAAGTGAGAATAAAAATATGTGATTATGTAGAACCAAGTTAGCATAAAGATAGTCTGCAAGTAGCACGAAGATAGTCTGCAGTTCAGGTTGGTGTCTTAATTTGAGATGGGATGGCCCACGAGATTCAACTTCAGCTGGATATCCCACAGGTTTTGCCTCACTCTGATCTTCCTGTCTTGGCATTAGCAACTGTCATTGATCCCTACACAGACTTTCAGGTCAGTTTGAGCTATTTGTATCTTAATTTTTGGAGATCACTTATTTGTACATTTATACATTTGATACCTTGGACAATCTTGTACATTTTTTTTTTTTTTGGCAGGAGACAGGAAATGTAAGGAAGATGGAAGGTTTCTTCTTGAGTGGAGGCCAAGATGAACCCAATATGGGACAAAGCAAAAATGTGAAAAATACAGGTATCATACTCTTCAGTTATTGATACAGGGTAACAGTTTCTTAGATTGCATGAACATGAAACTAATATTACAGTTTGCATCATCTTTGGGATTTGCAATATATGCATGCATGTTTTTACAGGCCCACCAATGAATGGACAGCCCGATGTTATAGCGGCAGCCGTGAGAACGCACCAGGACACCCCAGGAAGTGCAAACACTTCTATGGGAAGGCCCAAGCCACAAAGACGCCAGTCACTGCCAGAAAATGAGGTCATTGTTTACCCAGAGCTCCACCTGTATCCATCTGACAGAATTCTGGTGACAAGTGAACGTAGGTCTTATGTGGGGAAGCAGCAACGATTTGGACAAACATTTCGCCGTCCCCGTCGCCATCAAGTATCAAGTTCTTCCTTATCCAGCGTGGATGTTTTAGAACTGCCCCAAACCAATGGAAGCCTATCTGAAAGTTTTGAGACTCAATCTGATATAAGTGGATATGAGGAAGAAATTGCTCAAATCAAACATCTGGCTGATGAGCTAAACATCCCTCTGTCTCCTGCTTCAATCTCTGGGCCAGAGGAGGAGATCCGGCATCTTACGAAGCAGTTGCAATTGATTAAGGATGAAAGAGACCGCCTCCAGAAGGAATTGACCCAGACAGGTAATTCTCCAGAGTTCCTCAAGGCACTGAAGGACAAAGCTGCTGTAGAAGGACGGTTAGAGGTCATCATGCGGGAGTTGGATTCAGTATCTTCAGAACGGGCAAACCTTCATGCACGCCTATTGGACACAAAATGGGAGCTTGAATCTGCTCAAGGGTCTTTAGCAAAGATCAAGTTGGGTAGAGGAGAAGAGCAAAAGGAATTGAATGCATCATTCATGCGTGAACGGGAGGCAAGGGAAAAATTAGCAGCAATCCAATCAGCATTAGACTCAAAGGAGGCAGAACTGGAGCACTGGCATCTTCAGTATTATGAGAAGGAGAAGCAGATTGAGGAGATGGCAACAGCTAATCGTGCCTTGCGAGATGAGCGTGATGCCAAAGAAGCAACAATTAGGAATCTGAAGGAAAAGCTGATGCAGATGCGCTGTCAGTGGCAGTCAGCTGTCCAGGAGCAGTCTGATGTAAAAAATGATCTCAAGCGTCTCAGGTGTGTTTTGCAAATTCCCTTGACATTCTGTTTTACACAGTTCACAAATTTTTGCATCAGCAGAGCCCTAATGTCAGACACATACCAGGGAATATTATTGAGTCATGTGAATTACTTTTTTGCTGTCTGTATACAACACAAAATATGGAAGCATATGAAAACATTTTTTGAAGCAGTGTGCTTTGAATATATATCAATAGTTGCTAAAACTAAGCCTTCATGGATGTTGTTCCTACAGCTCATGAAAATGGAGACAACTGTGTGGCTCAAAGCAACATGTTGTTGAATTTTTATCATCATGTTTAGTTTCAGCTAGTATATCTTCAAAACATGCTGCTTCATATGATGTTTTCATGTGTTTTAATATTTTGTGTTGTATATATAACAGAAGAGAAAAATAATTGGCATAACTCAATAATATTTCTTTGTACATGTTTGACATTATGGCTCAGAGCTCCAATGCAAAAATTAGTAAACATGTACAAAAAACTGTGTATGTTTAACCAGATACAGTAGATTTGAATTTTAGTAGTAACTGTGGCCTTTGCACATGAATTGAAATCTATATTTGGCCCTTTATGGAATATTAATTTTTAAAAATAGTTGTGAGCCCTCATTCTGACTCATGCCTATGAGCAGAAGACTGCTTAATTCTGAGACTATTCTTCTGGATGATTACTCAAGAAGAGTGCTCAAATTTCAGTTCCCATTCAGAGTCAGTCTTTGTTGAGATAGCACTCAACTCAAACCCACTGATAATATCTAAAGAAGTTTGTCAGGAGCAGAAATCCTTTCATTGCCATGGACATATACAGGGTATGGCAAAAAAAAAAGACCAATGACTTTCAACCTAAAGATCTCCCATTGCAATAGAGCTATTTATGCGAAACTTCCCCTTTGCATATATCAGTATGTTTCCAATTGATACATGTAATTTCGTCTGAATTTATTGAGGCAAAGCAATTATTGAAAAGAAGTTAGACAATGAGAATTTTGCCATACGCTGTACATATGTCCATCACTTCAAGGATGTACCATCCTTAGTGCACAGTGTGTTGGTAGTAAATCTAGTCAATCAGGCGTTTATGTGACATAAATTCATTGCCTTCACTATTAAGGGGAATGCGCATAATTCAAATTAGTACCAACTTTCTTAAAACAGATAAATGCCTGAAATATACTGGCATAGAGGGTAATGCCTAAAAAAAAAACTCAACAGCTAGAGTGTTAGGTGTTGGAAATCCTTGACTTATGTTGAGTTTGACCATCTCACATTATCTTTGGTTATATGGATTTTGTAAGGAAACAACACAATTGATGGTCTTTGAGAAGATAGTTCCCCATGTAGATAATTCAACATGGATATTCATCAGACCATCAACATTTGACAAAAATTTGCCAACATGCCAAAAAAAAAGGAAGATTGAAAGAAACATTGATACATGACTGCATATGAGTTCATTCCACTGGTTCAACCCTTTAGTCTGTTATTCATTGTAGCATAGTGAATCTGGAATGCCTATGCACATTTTCCATTTACTGTCTTCATTTATAGGTTAAAAATATAATATTTGCAATTTAAATATTCATATGATGAAAGTTTGAGAAACTACTGTTACTCCAAATTCGCTGCATGACAGCTTTATCTATGGCTCAATGGGAATTTTGAATCATATCGCTGGGAAAGTATTAGACAGTAATTGTGCAAAAATCATGAAAAATATTTCTAGTACTAGAAATATATTGAACAAGAGTTGTTTTTTTTTTTTACCTATCATATACACTAAGGTGCAAAAGTCCTTGCCCCTTGCATAAGCCAACTTTCTGGAAGCATATCTTTGGAAATTTCTGAAGAGATTTTTCAAGAAATTTCTAGAAGGTAAGAAAAGGTCTTGCCATAAATACTGTTACAAGGATAAATAGCTATAAAAAACTGATTTTATGGGGAAAAAAATTTATTCACTGTGAGACTTTGTAATACACAACTGAATACAGATAACTTATGGTCACTCAAAATGGGCTCCTTTTGCCTGAGCACAAGACCTCAATCTCTGGGACCACATATCGATCACTGCACGCACACTTTCCATTGGAAAATTTGTGATTGCTCAGACCAGAGATTTTTTCAGGCTCTCCAAATTAGGATGTTGTCTGTGGCAGGCCATCCTCTCCAGTTCAGACCACAGCCTGTAATCCAGTGGATTGAGATCCGGACTCCCAGAAGGCCAATCTGAAGCTGTGATGAACACAGGAATGTTCCTTTGCAACCACTCCTGCAAAGACTTGGCTTTGTGGGCAGGAGCAGAATCCTGCTGAATAATCCAGTGTGTTGCCCTCGAAAGAGTGTTTGATTGAGGGCCTTCACCACTTTTTCCAAAATGTCAGTTTGGTAATTTCTGGCTCTGGTTTTGACTCCTGCCTCACAAAAATGAAGTTCTATGACTCCCTCAAAGCTCACACCCCCACCAAACCATCACTGATGCTGGATGATGACCTCTTTCCACTTTTTTCACCACTTCTGATACCTCTCGAGAGCTGTGGGCATACACTCTGTCATTTTGTTTGTTAAACTTTTCCTCAATGGTGAAAATTTTTTCATCCGTAAAAAGAATTTTCCTGTGCATGTTTCTGGTGAAACGCTGCAGCAAGAGTTTTGATCACTGGTGCCTTATTCTTTGAAGAGTTGGTGTTAGGCGGTGGCCAGTACTTCTCCTGAAAGCACTCATACCAAGGTCAGCTTTGATCAAGTGGGACATGGTTCGGGTTGAAAAATCCATTTCCCTGACCATAACTTTTTGCTTCCGAAGAGGATTTTGTCAGATTTGGGAAGCCACAACTTTGACAAAATTAGGGATCCAAACTGAACAAGGATGTCTGGATCTTGGATGGTCTTCAATTCTACCAGACTCATTGTACCTTTCTATGGTCCAGTACACAAACATTCTAGTAATCCCAAGTGGCTACAGGGTCACAAAAATAAATGAAGGAGACTTTTCAACTTTGTGCAGTGCAATGACTGCAATCCTATTCTCTTTGTTACCCCACTCCATCCTTCCTGTATGGAATATGGAATTCAACTGACAAAGATTTAAGCTACATTGTGTATTGTGTAAACTGCATAGGTTGAGAGAAATTATCCCATAACAGGTACAGAGAGAAATATAAACGAACTTTTGTAACAGTATTTATGACAGAACTAGGTATATAGCTGTGAAAACCTCAAATCGGCATGAACATGATTGATTTGGGAGAAAATGATTCAACAATGAAATTCTACTTCACTGAAAATGGAACGATCAACTATTTTACACCTCTGAAACAATTGCCATTGCTCTCCTGCCACAATTGCTCATCTGATGAAGATCCCTGTTCGGGCTGTCAAGTACAATATTGCCAAGATCAAAGAACAAGGCACAGTGGAGAACAGATGCTGTAGTGGCCAGCCCTGCAAGATCACCGCTGATGACGATAAGACACTTTGCCAGTGGATTTGACGAAACCATGAGACAATGGTGAAATAACTGTTGCAAAAGTTGCATTAGGACCAAGGTCAGCACATGTCCCGATGGACAGCACAATGCCAGCTCAAATGGATGAGCTACAAGAATGCTTCGTCCCATGCAGCACTTATGTTGACACAGAAGCACAAAGATGCAAGCATCCTATGGGTAATTTGACACAAGAACGATGATTGAAGCTGAACTGTATTCACCAATGAGATGCCCCACCAATTATTCAGAACCACAATTCATTGATGGTCAAAGAATCCAAATGTTGAGGTCAAGCAAATCCCGAAGAACAGACAGAAGATTATGGTGTGGGGCAGTTTCAGTGTCATGGGCCTGGTCAGCTGTCATACATCCAAGAGAATTATGGATGACCCTTACTATGTTCAAATCCTTCAAGTTCACCTCCTCCGTAACACCAGAAGGCAATTCGGCCTATGCTGGTGACTGCAGCAAGACAATGATCATCCCTAGCACAGAAGTCGAATGACAGCAGTTCCTACTCGAGGAATTACCGGAAACAATCAACTGGCTGTCAAACAGTCCTGATGTTGATCCAATCAAGAACCTTTGGTTGATCCTCAAACAGCGTGTTCAGAAGCTGAAACCATCAAATTTTGTCTAACTGGACAGATTTCTGCATGAAAAATGGGGCAGAATCAACTTGGACCACTCTAAATCATTTGGTCAAGCGTGATGTTTGACTTTGATTGACTTGAAGGGAGAGTAGATTAACTATTGTGGTACTTTTGTACCTTGTCCCATGCCTTATCTGTGCATAAAATTACTTTTGATATTCGTCCCATCTCCCTGAGAAATACTTGAAATACTGGGGGCAGAGACTTTTGCACCTTAGTGTATATTATGTTTCCTTGTTTGCTCCCAAGGAGTGATTTCATCATTCATTATTTATGCATGTGTGCATCATTGGTAGTGAGCATGTTAAACATGATCAATATTTTTTATAGTTGTTAGAGCTTGTAAGTTCCATATTTCATAAATTTAATTTAATTTGGACCCATAACATTTTTCTGAAGTAAACTGCTTCTTCAGGGACAACTCTTAAATGAATTGGGATCATCTTGTCACTTTCACTGTGATGGATATCAGATAAGAATGACCTAATTGGAAGTCTTAGAAATAGCTTTCATCTTCACTTAGCTTTTTCTTTTCAGCCATGAGCTGCAGGCAATGAGAAAATGGCAATTTTTTTTATGGTGAACAGTATGACTTATATGCTCATGTATTCCTGCAAGATATTGCTGGGAGACCTTATGCTGGCTCATGGAGGAAGGATGCCAGTTGACAGAATATTGCAGTTCATGCTGAAATCTTTGGCAGGTTTTGCCATATAGATCTGTGACATTCTGCTTCTTTGGTAATTCTATGAAGGTCAGAGTTGGAGTCATCAGAGAAGACGCAAGCATGGTATGCAGAGAAGCTGGAAGAGTTGCAGGGCAATCGATCACGAGTGCAGTATGAGGCACTCCGGCAACAGTCGTGTGCCCTGGCTCATGCCACTGAGGTTGAACAAATGCGGTCTCAGTTAAAGCGACTGGAGTTGGAGCTTCAGGAGACCAAGGAGAGGGGGATTCAAGAGAAAGAAGCGGTGATGCGGGAGCTGGAGGAGATCCAGGCAGAAATGTGTGAGCGCGAGCACCTACTTGAGATCCTCACCAATCGTAGCTCTGTTGATGATGAAGTCAAGAATCGCCTCAGGCAGCTGGAGGAGGAACGGGTGCACAAGTCCATCCTTGATCAAAAGGTAGGTTCCACTTAATCACTCTCATACATGGGAAAAATACTATATGTTTCCATGAAATTCCAATTTAGATTTAATTCTAGTAACAACACATGTACCAGATGTAATTTCTACTGTGAACTTTATGTAATTGGTTTGTTGATAATGAAGAATCTTTCAGTTAGAAATCAATCTCACATGTGTTCATGGGATTAGATCCATTCCTTATGTAAACATTGATCTGAATCTCAAGTGTTTTACCAATGTGCAGTTATTTGTAATTCTTTGGTAATGGATTAGACAAAATCAAATGGTTTAGCTAATTGCAATGGTGAAAATAATAATGCAAGAAAATTTACTATTTTGTTGTTTTTTTTTTCGTGTATGAAGTGGACCTTGAATTTGGCCTCATGGCTCATAGGAGGATCGTTGTGAATCTGGTTTGTAATTGCAAAAAGTAGGCATTGCCATCTTGAAAAATGAATGAACTTTCCTCATTGAAAATTTAAATGAAATTATTGCTGTTTGCCTTATCTTGACATCGAATGACCTGTCATTCCCTGAATGAGATTGACCTGTTAGTAAGCTTCTCCAGTACCTGATATGGCATATTGATGTGTGAACCTGTTTATTATGAAATGGACCTGAAAAAACTTCATTAACATGACTGCTTATTGAAGAATGAACTATACCACTATTCAGGACACATCCTATGTCCACTTTCAAAGGAACTTTTTCTTTTCAGGTAGTGTCTTATCAGTATTAAAGACCTGAACTGAAAAATCTGTTTGGTGGCTAGTTGTCAGTAGACCAATTGTGGGTTCTGGTCATTTTGTCAAACCAAAAAATGTCATACCCAGTAAGAGAAAAGTAGATGTGGCTTCATTGTTTTGTGAACTATGCTTATATAGGCATTGTATCAAATACAGGTTTGCACAGTGAACACTGAAGTCAATTTGAATACTTATGTAATCAAGTATGTAGAGTTTCAGATTGTGGGAGGGCCAAGGCTTCTTAATTTCATGCAAAACATATCTAAGCATTTTACTTGAGACTATGAATAAGTTTTGACTTCACTTTATTTCATATAGATGAAAGCCATAAACTTCATACCTGAACATCCCTTCAGTATACTCCTTCCCAGCATCAATACAGCACTGCATCCTAAGGCTGTGAATTTGACACCACTGGCCAACTCCTATATGTGCAAAAATGATTCTTACTCTTACAAAAATTATTTTTACTCACCAAAGACTACTACAGTTTATGTCTAACTGCTCCTTGATAGAAATGAAAATATACCCTCTTTGTCTTTTTTTTTTTTTTCTTCCAAGTGCAAGATCTGAATGGGACCAAAAATGGGAGGTAACTGGCATGCACATTTTGGCCAGGAGTAGTCACATTCAAACTAAATTCTTCAAACTGAAGAACTCCATACAAGTGATTCTTTTTTAACCTATTCAATGTTATACCCAAGAAATTTTCAGGCTTCTCTGGTAGTGTGTCAGAAAGCCTGCCCCCTGAAGGGGTTAATGAGACATTCCAAGAGCACTTGTGCTGCATTTATAAAATGGTGTGCTGCAGGAGAAAATCTGATTAGATAGGCACAATTGGTCTAGGCTGGTACTGATACTTTGGATTGGTCTTGATGCATCCCTGGTACTAACATCAAATTCCTTAACAAAATTGGAGACTGATCCATTAGCTTTTAGTTACTAGAAGTTTGAACATTCTAATTGCCATATTGCCAGTAGAGGCAATGTGTATTTTAACTCCCCTGCAGGTGCTCTGCTAAGCTCAGGGTGTCATGCTAGGGTTCATTGCACTGTTAATGGGAGATCCAAGTGCTTCCAAAATCCAAACATGATTACATTGTGGTTAACATTTTGAATACATCTCTTGTTTGCTTGCATCTCTAAATCCCAGCTGGGGTTTGAGAACTAAGATTCTCAGGAAACCTGATTTATGTACAGGATCTGTTTTCTGTTCTCAATTCAGGTGAGAGAGTTAGAGGGATCATTAAAATTGATCCAAAAGACTGTGGCAGTCCGGGAGGAGCAGCTTTTATCATCTGAATCAACAAAGACTGCCCAGGCCCAGCGCATCTGTGACTTGGAAGAGGAGACTTCTGTTCAGCTCCTCAACCTGGACACAATGAGAAAAGAAATGGAGAAGGTGAGGCTAGAGAATCGACAGAATGCAGAGCTTGCTTCATCTCGAAACCTTGCACTTCAGGATGCCCTTGCAGCACAATCAAAACTTGAGCTTGCTCTGATGGAGTCCCAGCAAGAATATCAGGACCTTGAGATTTCATTAAAGATCACAAAAGAACAACTGTCAAGCAAGGATACCCTCATAAGAGACTTAGAGAGTCAACTGGCCTTGAGAGTAGCAAATATTGCAGAATTGGAGCATGCAAATGAACAAGGAAAGGATGATCTTCGTTGCTGTAAAGGACGACAACATGAATTGCAGGATCTGATGCGGTTGCTGGAGCAGCGCATACATGACCGAGATGTTACCATTAAACAATTGAGAACAGAGCTTTCCAACATAGAAGATGAACTTAGGCATGCTCATGAGCAATTGGAGGCCCTCAATGAGGTCAAGGCTAAGTCAGTCCTTGATCAGGAAAAGTTGAAGGATCAGGATCGTGCCATTGAGCGACTGTCCACCGAGTTGCAGGCTGTAAAGAAAAGCCCAGGAATGGCACAGGTGAAGACCCGCTATGATGATGACATTGCAGCACTCAAGACATCTCATGACCTCCTCAAGGCCAAATACAAGATCTTACGTGAACGCATGAGCTCTGCTTCCCCAACAGTGCATTCTGCACCAGCATCACCCATCCCACCAGTGATGTGTGTGGTTGGTGTGCAAACAGAGGTGAGGGATGAAACCTACCTCCGATATGAGACCCATGTTCGCTTCCTGGTGCGGAAGATTGGGGAACACCTGCGTGCAAGGAAGAGAGCTGAACAGGAGTTGAAGGAAGAGAGGCTTAAGATGGATGAAGAACGAAGGGCCATTCTTGATGATTTCAAGCTTGATGACAAACAGTTAGCTCTTGAGGTGGAGACCCTCAGGGCCAAGCTCAGAGGTAAGGCTCTTCCGAAATCTTAATTTGTCTTCTCAAAGTTCAGCCATTCACCTGGTTGCCCTCATGAAGGGCAAATCATACAGCATCCTGTTTTAGAAAAATAACCATCTTTCTGCTATGCTGAAGAAAGCATGATAGCAGGTTCTTTGGCTGAAAGATGCTAGGCTTGTATTTCATTATGACCTGTTTTGCTTGAACTACTAGCTGCTCTTTCTTTACTCTTCTCTAATATTGAATTATATATGCTACATATTTTCCAAATTCAATCATTGGTCCATATTCTCTGCATTGGACTTCTGGAGAAGTTTTGATGGCATGTTTCTGAAACATATTATCTCACTTTTGACAATGTTATTGCAGTTAGTGATGTTCATTTTGATCACATTGAGGTAAGTCATTTGATGACATGAAACAACTGGTGACAATAGGCAGTGATCAATGAAAACTCCAAATTGAGTACTTTTATTACAAAATTACCTTTATTAAAAAGTTGCCATTCAAGGTCATCAGGTTGCAGATAGCAGTTACTGTGATAACATTAGTGAGGGGAAAAAATACTAGAAATATCGGATTTTGTTTTGGTTTTTGAGATTTGATCACATTATTGGGCTGATAACAATAACCAGTTATAATAAGAAGTATCAACTGTGAGTCAACTCTTGTTATACTGCCATGCAATATAGTGCCACCTTTGCATATTGCCAACTTCTTCCCGTGGAAAATTCTCTCTATAAATTAATAATTGGGAATTTTATTAATTTGATATAGTGCTTCCCATGTTATTGTGCCAAAGTCAGTAATGATCAACTGTAGTGTTATATTGAGGGTAGCTGTAGAATGTAACTCCAGAACTTGAAAAAGGCTGCAAAATAGCACCTTTCATTTTGTGAAAGTGGGCATATGAGTAAAGCAGTAAATTTTCAAACATGAAAATAAAATTTCATTCAGGTTGGTTACACAGTTTCTTGGATTGAAGTTGGAAAAATCCATGGTTTTTAGGTAAGCCCAAGTGGCACTTATCTTTATGGTTCCATTACTTTTTTCTGTGGTTCATGCATGGCTTTCATTTATTTTGGACTGTAGTTGACCAAAGGCTTCCTTGGACAAGGCAGCCTGCTGGATAAAAGGACAAAAAAATGAATCTTGTAACTGCCATGAAGTTCAATTGTCTTTTAATTGGCATGCCCCCTTTTGTCTCCAGCAACTTTCCTGAGAACCCTCCATTATTGGAAGTATTTTTGTGGCAAAAGTGTCCTTTTCTTGGGAATGCCATATGCACTGGCTGCCAAGAAACCTTTTGCCATGGGTTTACAGCAAGAAGTATGCAACCAACCTCAGTGTCCTTAGTATCATTCTAAAACTTTTTTTTCCTGTTTCTCAGGTGACCTGAGTGAAATGACCATGTGTCATGTCCATGCCAAAAAAAAAAAAAAATTTGACCTGACCCCCACCAATTTCCATTAAATTTGCTGAGCTCGTAGGGGCTATTGAAAAACCATTCTAGGCCAAATTGCAGCTCTCTACCTCAAGTACTTCAGAGATGTAGCAATTTGAAATTAGTAAAAAGTGCCAAATTTTTGGTCAAGTTGTCATCACATAAGTGCTCATAAGTTTTGTTCTAATCAACATAGAAAGCTGATATTGGTGTCATTTTCAAGGTCTTATGCACTTTCAAATGATATGTAACTCGAGGACATTCAATGAAAATAAAGATCAAAGGTCAAAGGGTCTGACATTTGACCTTTAATTCCAGAAAAAAAATATTTTTATTTCCTTCAAACAAAACTCTCCTAGAATAAAATTTATGAGCACTTAAGTGATGATGACTTGACCCAAAATTTGTCAATTTCTACTACTTTCAAACTGCTACATGTCTGGAAATAGTTGAGGTAGAGAGCTGCAATTTGGCCTGGAGTGGTTTTTCAATAGCCCCTACAAGCTCAGCAAATCTCATGGAAATCAGAGGGGGTCATGTAAATGGCTGTGCTGATTTGACGTGGAATGACATTATGTCCTTTACTATTTTGACATGTTGCTAAATATCCCTGGTACTGATGACTAGCCAAAAGTTCTGAAGCTGGTTCTCCCTTAAACTGTTTAATGAAATACTCCCCAAACTACTTCATCAAAACAGTGGAAATCAAAGCTGTTCAGTGGCCACATTTCAGGTTCTATCATATTGTTGTTACAATGCCAGAGTTGTCAAAGTGCATTTCCTTTGTTGTGTAGAAGAACTAGACAAAGTTTACAGAAGGCTTTGTAGAAAATTACCTGAGGCAGATTGGTGGTGTAATAATCCATGTATGCTAGTGCAATAGCAGAAGAGAACAGATTGGTGATTCTGGTATTGGAAAGGTCACAGCCTGGAAGGTTTAGAGTTGTGCTCAACTAAAAAAATAGAATATTTTCACTTTGGTGACTCCGGAATCGGAGCAATGATGTCTGGTATGCTCTAGTGCAAGACAACAGTTTCACAAGGTTTACCCACCCTGTACACAAATACACACATGGTGCATTAGGGGTCACTTTTCCTCAGAGGCACATTGACACCACTGGATATCTATGTTTCTCATATTCCCATTTAGCAAAATAGCTGGCAAGCAATGGTCTTCATACACCATTTCAGCTTGAAGTTTATACATATGATATTTGGGGCAATCCTAGCATCTTTCTTGAAATATAGAATTTCTGTTTCTCTTTCTGCATTGACCCAATGCAGCCATGGAAGAGAGCCAGGAGAATGCCAAGGTCCATGCCCAGAACCTAGAGGCTCAAGTTGAAAAACTGAGCAAGAGAAATTCTGATGCTTTGGAGAGGCAGGATTGTGATGCAACTGACCAATCTGAAAGTGTTATAAAAGAGCTCCATGCTGCCCTCACCAAGGAGCAAGAGGCTTCAAGGGCCCTGAAGAGACAGGTCAGTTGTCCCCCAGTCTTTCTGTTCACTTGTGAAAAGAAGCCAGAAGCTTATACTGTCATATATTGCCTAACACTTGCATGAGGTGCTGTCATCCATTGCCAATACATGGCAATAATCAATCCTAAGCACTATCTGTGGATGAGACTGTGAAAAAATATGCAACGTTTTGCAGGCCTCCAAAACTCAACATTAGTTGTAAGGTTTGGGAGTCATGTAAAAAAGGGTAAAAACATGAAATAATATATTGTTAGGAGCATGGTAGTTGAAGAGGATTATCTTGAGTTTGCTGAATGTCTTTGGTTTTCAAGGTGTTTGTGGAGAAACGGGAAATCTCTCGCCTGAGGACAGAAATTGGATCATTAAAACTGGGCTTAGAGACAGCCAACAAACAACTGGATGTGCAGGCCAAGCAGCTGCAACAGCAAGAACTTCAGTTAAAGGATGCAGAGGATAAGAAATCCTGGGCTGAGCTGGAATTGGAACGGGAGAAGGGGATTGAACAGGAACTGCAAAGGGAACTTGAGTCACATAAACACCAGCTTCAGCAGGCCTTGCTCAAGGATCCTCTCCTTGCTGACCAGATCAGGGTACCCCCTTTTTTTTAATTGCATACAAGGAAATATTGGTAGCTTCTTTGGCATCTTTATTAGTATTTTCTCTCCTTCCATGAAAGTGTGAAATATTCTATTCATTGCACAAGGAAATGATGATATAGGTATAATTATGGGGATAACTTGGCAGAATGTCAGTATTCATGAGACACCCTTTAACAGTCCCATGGCAAATACTTGAGATGTGGTATCTGGTATGGGAGTTTTGATTTGTGCTGTCCCTGGATTTGTGCTAATACACAGAGTACCTTAATTTTCTTTAGGGTGGAGTTTCAAAATTATGGCTACAAGGCTGCTGACTTGCTCTGTAGCTTTTATTCTGACGAACAAATCTATATTTATATTCTTTTTTACCAGGACCAAAGAGTCATGGTCACAAAATGAAATCACTATGCATCTTCCTGTCTGCCATTTTCTTGTTAAGCTGGGTGTGTCATGGGGGTAGCAAATAAAGGCATTATTTCCCACCAGAGATATGCAGAAGAGGCATTTGCTATGCATGGCCTCTTCTTACATCTCAGTGTGTTTGGCTTTCAATCTCTGCTTATAATAATTTTATTTATTTATTGAAGAGCTGCCCCTCAAAAAAATTAAATCATGTAATTCTTTAAAAATAATCCTATGTTACCACCATACTCAGGTGTTCTCATTTTTTTAATAGAAAATTAGCCTTAGGTACTAACAGCACTAAAACTACTGCAGAATTTGACCTAGTGAAGATAAACTTTCAGGGAGACTGTCCATATAGCTAGGTGATGTATGGAGTGGTTATGAGTGCCATTTTTGGATATTTGCAGATTTAGTGCCCCATTATCAAGTACAAACTCAGAATTCTGGATGCATCATCTAGTATGTCAATTGTTTTGAGGGATTCTGATCAGATTCATTACTCTCACAACCAAAGGACTGATCACTATCAAGAACAAACTGTTCCCCAGCAACATTACTGAAAAGACTTACCTCATTACAAGTCTGAAAATGAGCCATTCTCAAACATATCTTCAATTTCTTCATTTTTGAGATGCCATGGTTGCCACTTCCAAGCATGACGAAAACATAAAACACTATGATGATATTAGGGAGGAAATGACACTTTCCCAAATCCTAAAGCATAGGCAGTACTAAAATGTAAAGTTTTCTGCCAGCAGATTTCACCTACATGACACACTTGAAAAAGGAAAAAATATTTTTTTAGCACATATGTTGAAACAAGTACATACTCAGGATAAGTAGGCAGTCACATTATGAGTACTTACTCAGGGTGCTGTCAAAAGGATCAAAGGGGAAATAATGTTTCATGATTGTTTGATCATAAAATGGTCTTAAAATCCCATTACAAGTACAGGGTGACCCAAAAAAAAAGGGCACACTTTTCAATGTGCATTTTAGGTGTGATTCTTTCAAGGAAATTTAGGCTGGTTACATGTAATGGAAAGAAGAAAGTCTTAGTTACAACTTGCTTTTTTTTTTTTTAGATTTGAAATATCTTAAATGGTGACTTAGAAAAAAATATTGAAATTTGGTTATGAAAAAAATCAGCATTGTGCTCACTGATTCGACCCAACATCCCCTTGATGGTCTGACACTCACAAGAAGGGAAAGGAAAACGCTGACCTAAACAGATTTTGCGAGGATGATTGGATGGGCCTGCCGCCCTAGGCAGTCATTGAGCACAAAGCTGGTTTTTTTGTAACTGAATTTCAATAATTTTTTTCCAAGTCACTGTTTAAGATATTTCAAGTCTGAAAAAAGCATCTTGTGGCTCAGTCTTTCTTTCCATTACATGTAACCAACCAAAATTTCCTAGAAAGCATCACCTAAAATGCACATTGAAAAGTGTGCCCTTTTTTTTGGGCCACCCTACTCTGTACCATGCAGGAGAATGGCCATGACAAGTATACTTGTCTCATCCAGTTAATAGTTTCAGTGGTTTCTAGATGCAGTTTTGCCAACTTTCTTGAGTATTTGCATGACATAGATTAATTGGGGTGCCTAGCCTGCATCAGCATGATGCATACATCCAGCTGATTCATAACCCCATTAACTGATGTTGATCAAGCACACTAACAAGTTGAAGGTGATCAAATGAGATGCTTAGCATGAATCATATGGATGCTGCAACATGTGAATGCATGCATATCAATCTATAGATCCATTGTTCAATTCCTTGGACCTTTTTCAAGTTTTCCTTATGTGACACTCATCTTATGACCTTGAAACTTTACTAAATTTTCTCTACACCACTAGTAGTTCCTGTATCCCATTTCATGAACCCTTTCCAGTCCATTTTATTTGTAATGCTATGGAGATTGTCAGAATAAGTCTGCCAGTGGACTGGAAAGGGTTAAAGAACTCCCCTGAGTGTTTCTTTAGGGCAATTAATATGACACCCCCCCCCCCCCCCCCCCCCCCCCCCCCCCTTACTTTGACTCAGATTGATCTAAAGGGGGTTAAGCATAAAAACAAGTGAACAGAGAAAATGAGATGTTGATAGACATGAGAGGCAAATGTTTTTCCAAGGAAGGCTCTATTTCTGATGCCCATGGGACACTCATCTTATGCCCTTGAAACTAATAGCACATTCTATGAATTTGTACCAAATTTTATCTGTATCACACAACTCCTGGGTATTGCAATTTCAATGGTAGATAACAGGCTATGACATGGACCTGTTTGCTTATTACATATTGCATTTTATATTAAATATTTTTTTACTAACATTCTTTGGAAATAAATGAAAATATGCTTCTTATTTTAATTTTATTTTATTTCTCAATAATGGGCACATGTACAAAGTGGTAGGCTACCGTGAGGTCACAATGGGCTGTAAAATGTATACACATCCTTAGGATAATATGTGTGACTTAAATGTAATAACTGTTACTTTGACTCAGATTGATCTAAAGGGGGTTAAGCATAAAAACAAGTGAACAGAGAAAATGAGATGTTGATAGACATGAGAGGCAAATGTTTTTCCAAGGAAGGCTCTATTTCTGATGCCCATGGGAAGGGGTTAAGGGTCCCAAAAATGTATATACAAAGTCAAAGATTCAAAAGTCCCTCCCTAGTTAAAAAAATTAATTTCTCCAAGAGCGAAAGAGATTCATGCAAACCAAATACATCGTCCTTCAGAGCACTAATGGGAGCTTTGTTTCAATATGAGTAAATTAACTTCACAACTTTCACAACACTTCCACATGCGCAAAACCAATTTCAATGCAGCCACCTCTGAACAACCTCATTCATAACTTAGGGCACCATCTCAAGGAAAATTTCCTTTATTGCAGTCCTGATGTGTTCTTTAAAATTGCTAAATTGTATGACTTTATAGCATACATTTTGCACAGCCCCACAGAAAAAAAGTAGACAGACTTCAGGTCGTGTGACCGAGGAGCCCAGGGAGTTGGACTGCATCACTCAATCCGTCTGTTACAGAAGTGATGGTTTAACCCTTTTAGTGCCATGCAGCTGATTTTTAGGCATAAAATGAGGATATATTGTTCCCCTGGCACTAAAAGGGTTAAGCATGTGCAACAACATAGATTTTTCAGTGAAACTCCTGCACTTGTGGATAACTCAGAAGACATTACTTGCAGATGGTAGTGATTCAATGTTACTTCCTATAGTTAAAGGATATGTCTTAGAGTCCATCAGAGGGTGCATGGATAAAAATGGATGTATCTCATGGTCAAAAGACATCTCTCTGAGTTCATTTCACAGTCAGGTATCATTAACCCTTTTACAGGTAAGGTTTTAAGAGCAAGTGAGCTTGCTCAGAGTGAAATTTTATGCAGAATGACAGCTTGAGTTTATGTGCAATTTTCACATGTTAATATGTTGAGGTAATTATATTAGAGAAATATTAGAGGAAATATACCAGAATCAATTTACTAAAATGTAAGGTGTGATATGCTTAAAACCTTTACAGTGCATACCCAGGAAGCCCTCCTTGGGAAAAACTAATATTTCAGTGAGTACCCATGAAGGGGTTAATAATCCTTGTTTCAAGGAGCATGACTTATAGGCCAGCGTCATCTTAATGCTAATTGCTGGTAGGACATCTAGTAGTTCCTTCATACCACCCAGAGGTGTTTACTGTGGTTCTAAATGAGATTCACTCACTTGAACTGACTTGAACCTGAACCCTTTCACTGCTGTTCACACCATATGGTGTGTTCGTGCAATGACCCTCCACTGGCTTGTTTGGTAGGGAGAGGTTGGCTGAGCATTTAAATTCTTGGCAGTCAAAGGGTTAACACATTTGCTGCCAAACATTGGAAGGTCCACCGAAACTCTTGTTGAGCATTTTTGTGTCACTCAGAAAATTTTTGTTTGTGACAAAAACATTTATTTCTCAAGAATGGTTCAAGTAAGAAACTCAAAATTTGAAGGATGTTTTCACTACATTTTCAGAGTGTGATATTTCCATCTAATACTCTTATCTAATGACACATGAATGTAAACACAGTCTTTTTTCAGTGATTCACCATAGGACAGCTAATAGCTGGTTGACAAATGTTTGTAGAAATACAGTGAGAATTTCGGTTTGGGTCGTGAAAACTTCCCAGATATTGCTAGAGCAGGGGTAGGGAATTTGCAACTCAAGAGGAAATTTGGCTCATGGGTTGCAGAAGATAAAAAAAAAATATTTTTTTAATCACCAACATTCCCAGGAACTTCTTGAGTAAAAAAAAAACCCATGAAGGTCACATTAAAATTTAATATTTTTTTGGCAGATAACTCACAGCTCAAATTAACATTTTTTGCATTCATGATTTTCATGCCCTCCAATTTCCATGATCAATTGAGCAAGGTTCATAATTATTACGTTTATTTTCCAGGTAACTGGTAACAGGTAACATTCAAGGGTAAGAATTTAAACCAAAGTTGTTTTACTTTTGAAAGGTATTTAAAAGTAAATTTTGTGCCAGTCCAATTTTAGTACAATTGAAAAGTAATTTTTTGCATGATTCTGTTTGCATTTGTAATTAAATGTTTCCTTTCTGAAAATCATGGTTGTTTCTCATTTTTCTCAGGCATCAAAGAATGCATATATATTTTACCAACTTCAGAGAAAATTCTGTGATTTTGAAAATCTTTCTCTCACAAGCACTTACCTCAATCTTAATTTAACTCACATGGTCAAAAAGGTTCCTGACTCCTGCACCAGTGGGTCACATGACACAGTTCAGTATGTCTTTTAAGCCTCTGCTGCCTTCTCAGCCACAAAAGTTATACTGCACCCAGACTTACACCAACACACCATATGGCGTGTTTGGTGTACCAGGTCAGAACTCTGAACACACCATATGGCGTGAACAGCAGCAAAAGTGTTAACAAAAGTCATTGTGTGTGACCCAGCATTCAAAGAATATGTGCTACTTCTTTAGATATGAAACAGATCAACCATGACTTCAGCCATCTTCATTTGAAGCAAAAAAAGGGTAGCTTAGGTTTTGTTCTCAGGGTGTCATAATGTATTTTTTGGGAATGTAGACGCTGAGCCACACTGCACATGAGCGAGCACAGGAATTGGCAGCATTGAAGGAAAGCTGGAAGCTTGTTGAGGAGAGGCATCAAGAGGAGAAGGCTGCCTTGGAGAAGATAGTGTTGGAGCTCCGCTCTGCCAAGCAGACCATGGATGCAGAACGACTGGAATTTATGACTGACAATTCCACTCTCTCACAACAGATCCAGGAACTCCAGAATGCCCTTGCCTGTGCTCTTCGCCAAAATCAGGTTCATCATTCTCTGGTCACTTGTAGCCTTTTAGTAGTCACTGCAGTGAAGTAGCAATGTAAAAAAAGAGCAGTTTTTCCTAAAGTGCATTGAGGGGGGTGTGATAGTAATTGTCATCCTTGCTCTTAATGTGATAAGCCTTCATATCCCTGTCACAGTATTGGCATTATGTTTCAGGAAAAAAAACAAGCATTTGTTTTTCAAATAGGCTTATACCCTGACGAGATGAGTCATCAAGTTTACCATACACAAAAATATAAAGAGTTCCAAAATGTGGGTATATCTGATGCTTGAGCTGTAGCTGAAGCTAAATAAGAGGTATTGAAGGAATTCAATAAAGAAATGGAACATGGCTGATGCAAGGTATTCAGACAAACCAGGCAGAGGTTCCAGCAAGGCAAGCAACATATTCTCTGGGTCATCAAAGACCAAAACAGGAAGCTCCTGGCTTCCAATGTAGAAATGCTTCAAAAGTAGAAGGAAAATTTTAATTTAAACCCATCCACTGTGGACTCTGATATACCTTACTCTCAGCCTATCTTTATAGAGAAAAGTGTCACTATGCTATCACATGCTTGAAGAATGGATAGTCTCCTGGTGTGAATGACCTGATGCTCGTTGTTGTGGGTATGTAAAACCACATGGGAACCAGGATGGAGAGTTCCTCTGAAGCATGAGAAATTGCAAGTAAAATATGGTAATGTAGGTCTCTTGGCTGTGATGTATGTTGGGTTTGAGAAAATTTCCTGCAGCCCCCATTGTTTTCACCCAGCTTATCTTATTTACATGAACAGGCATGAATTAAGGCCTATTTATGCTTTTTTCATGGTATCCAATATCTTCCTAAGTAGGAAGAATTATGCCTCTCCTTCCACTTAACCTCTCTCTTGAAATGCCAAGGAAAGGGGTTGCAGCAAACAAGGAAAGCCTTGCTTGAAATTCTCAGAAGCCAAGTGAAGCAATGAAGGGTAAATGGGAGGAGGAAAGTTTTTATTGCTCTAACACTGTCTGAGACAAAAATATCACAGCTGAGTCTACCCCACCATCTCTTGAAATGACCACCTCTCAAGTATTCTAACTAACATTGATATCATAAACATGGCTGAGAGAATATAAAAGTATGGTTAGGAAGTAAATCAATAATGTTTCCTTTCCTGTGTAAGAGGCATAATAATGGAGACTAAATAGCCAAATCCCTTACTTGCCAAACAGAGCAAGAATCGTGGTATAAGATCCCCAAAAGTAAGGGAATTAGACCATGCAATTACACATGAAGACATAAATCATCTGTGTATATCCCTGCATTTTTTCAAACACTGTTCTTGAGAGGGGTTCAAAAATTACTGTAAAGTGTCTTCTGGTCAAGGGCTGGTATGGCTGCAATGGATGTTTGACAACAGAGAATGGATGATGTCACTTCATATGATGTGCTTGCACCTGATGGAGATAGCACCACCCTTAAGTGTTACTCATAGCTGCTTGTCAGTCAAGCATCCAGCCATTGAGACAGGACAGGAAGCATGAAACATCACTCACCATCTGCATGCAATGTATTGGGTGGAGGATGGCCCTGTCAGAACAAACTATGTACCTATGTATTGGCCATCTGCAAATGTCCTCAACCTGAGAGATTGTTGTGTTGATGGACCACCAGATCTGAGCTCAGTGAGTAAGCAAATGAAGTTGCTTCATCTTCTTTCTGCAATGCAGTCTAATGTCTAGATCAGATCTGGTGGTTCGTCAACCCAACAGTCTCTAGTGTTGGTGACATTTATGGGTAGTCAGTCCTTTGGAAATATTCCCAAGGCATTTATGTCCACCATTTACTAGATGAACCCAGTGGTAAAAATTTTGTCCTGGTAGGACATTTTCACCTCAATTGACTTCATATTGAATGATGATGCCAATGTTTGAGGGTTTCATACCATCCTTCATTTGAAACTCCTCCACTGTTCATTTGCTAGTCTTCATATTCACTTTCCAAGCCAGAGGCTTGACTGGTGGACAACCCTGTGCAGCACTCACTGGTATCACCAACTTCATCAGGTGTGAGTACATGTGAGATGACATCTATACCCTATTGTCATATAGCACTTTGCAATGGCTGTGGTATCTCCCCTTTCATAGTATACTTATCCATGAGACATTCAAAACCAGACTGTGCTATCTTTGAAAAGTGTTTCTTATTTGAACCTTGTGCACTGCCCTCTGTAAGTGCATGGTGCCAGCCCTAGAAGAACTTCGAATTTTTAGTTTCCTGACTTTTTCCACTTCAGGCAATTCTGAATTTCATGCTTTCCAAAGCTATTCATGTCCAAATTTCATGTTGGTTAAGGTGCTTATGCTGAGTTGTCATCACATTTGAAAATAGAGTAAGTTTGAATGACATTTTAGGAGTATGAGGGAGTGCTGGGGAGTTTACCAGAACCACGTCCAATGGATGAGGAGTCAATCCAGGCAGTGCTAGATCGAGTAAAAGGGCTGAAAAGAGGCGGAGGGGGATCAAAACCCCTTCAGCAGCTCCAAGCCTGCCTTCTCCACCTGCGTCAGGAACGAGATGCCTTACTGCAGCACACTCACCTATGAGATCCCTTTACCCCTCGTTTGCCAATGTTTTCAGCTTCATCTTTTGCACTTCTAAGTTGGTTTTCTTTTTGGTTCTTCAGAATCTGTCTGATCACCTTTTCCTGATTCACATTCCCGGTCTGCATGTTACCAATTTATGTTAAGACATATTTTATTGTTTCTTGATTCCTACTTTTTATGATAGTCATTCATGTAAGGGAATGGTTTACCTTTGAAATTCAGTCCTGCTTGGAATCCTTTCATTATTTTGAATGTTTTCTAGGATTATCAAGGTTGAAAAATGCCATCCACAAATGGCATATATCCCTAGTCCTGCAGTTGTGATTGATGTGAAGAATATTTTGAATTATTCCATAAGTGCATGCACAGAAGCTCACCTTGCACATTGTGGCTGGTTTTGGTATATGCTTCTTGGCTCAATGGTTTTTCTTGAATGTTTGTAGCCAAGAATCATTGCACATCTCACTCTTTCTCCATCTACACTACATTAAAAGTGACCTTAGTTAATGTAGGTTCCTCAGCTAAGGGAGTAAAAACTAGTACAAATGCAACCACATCTGTTGATCGGTATTAGATGAAGGACCCATGGATCCCATTTTTTGACATTGGTGGAACTTCCAGTACTGAAACTTGCTGGTAGTATAGAAGCAAGATTGTTTTAAGTCCACCACAGCACTCAATGTTAAGCATGGAAATGGTTGAATGAAAAATGGGGCTCAGGAAAACTAATGGCAAACAGCAGTTTACATTTTCAAAGATATCTTGTAAATTTTAAGTTACATCATATTCAAATGCATTGTAGAAGAGCCCTAAATGCATTTCTTCCATTGAGGTCTGTCAGTCTCTGCATTACCTAACAAAGAAAATGTACAAGGGTTTATCAGAAAGTAAGGTTACAAGTAGCAACTGGCCGCAGCAATTATTGTAACTTTACTTCCTGATCAGCCCATGTGTATATGATTAAATTATTGCCTTGTCATCAGTAAGAAGCAGGGCTTCCAGAGGTTTCCAGGAACCTGGGGCAAAACTAAACCAGAGACCCTTGGCCTTGAGGCCCTTTGGGACCCTCCTTTGGGACCCCTTGATATGCAGGACCTGGGGCAGATTGCCCCCTTTTGCCCCACCCCTCTGGGCGGCCCTGGTAAGAAGAGAACTGATGCTAGATCATGCATCGCTTTAAAGTCCATGTCTGCCACCATGTTGAAGGATAGAGAATCAGTGAAGTTTCTCTTGAGCAGAGAAACTGCACCAATAAAAGTGCAAATGGAGGTCCATTGGTGGTAGATTGGTGAATTGCTGAGGTCATGCCCAGAGGCATGATCTTGACTTTTGCCATATTCTACTTGAGTGGAGATGGGGATTATGTAAAATCTATGCACTTTTTTCTCATTTATTGCATCAATATGCCAAAATGTCAAAATCCTGATTTCCTGGTGCAAGGTTGAAAACCAAAGGGTGCAAAATTCATCATCCTGTGCCAAGTCAGAACCTTTTACTGCTCACTCTTTTGGGGGCCCAGTGGTGTTTGTGATCCTGAAATAAAATTATTTTATCTTGACGGTCTTTGGATTTTTTCGTCATAGCTGAGTTGTTGAATCTGAAGTGGAAGATTTCCATCAAACTGGAACTTCATGTTGACTCCAATTCTGTAAGCATATATATGTATGCTTTTGCATTTCACCTCGTTACTTTTTATGTAATTAGTGCAAAAGTCGGTGGTGTAATGGTAATGAGGCCTCCTGATTACCATTACACCACCGAACCCGGGACATTCAGTCGTGCCTCTCAACAGCGTCTTCATCACACATAGCTAGGAAGCGAGAGCAAGAAAACTTCTTCAGTTGAACTCATATAAAAACGACATTCCTATTGAAAGGAACGTGATTGGATTACTATAGTCTTCAACACTCAATTTCACCGTTGATAATAAAATCAATAAAGAAAGCGGAGACGAAGCCAGCGTGCAAACTAATATGAAGCGAATTTTTAGAAATATCTCACCTCGGAAAAGAGTTTCGATTATGTATATCAGAATCTGAATTTTTCATCACTCCGGTGATATCATTTTAATAAATGGCAAGAGCTAGGACGGAACGCAACGAACATTTCTCATAAAACCACGAAGTGAAATGGCTCCAGATGAGAGATCAGCCTTCGATTTCAAGAGACGTTCTCGAAGCCGTAGGGTGGATTTTTGAACAGAGAACTATCCGATAATGCAGCTTTATTCCAGGGAAAAACCATGATAAATTCGGTAAATAAAGCTGCATTATCGGATAGTGCTCTGTTCAAAAATCCACCCATATTTCCTGGAAATAATGCAGCATTATCGGATAGTTCTCTTTTCAAAAATCCTCCTGTATAGTCTTCCTTCGTTTCCTCACCGGGGCCCCGCCGTGAACATGCTGGCTTTCTTGTGGGGAAACGAGAATTACCCGATGTATGAAGTAAACAAAAGAGGGCCAAGTGATCTGGCTGTGGGCAGTTGATCAGTGTTGTCTTTCAGATCTGTGGTCGGTATTGTGGGAGCTTTTTTTTTTTGCTTCCTTTTAAACAAATGCGTTTGAACAATACAGTGAAAAGTCGCTAATTCGAACTTTTTTGGACCGGACATAGTTTCGAGTTATCAGGAATAGCGCCCTCCCCCCATGTAAAAAATCCTCACGTTAAGGGATATAACCAGAGGGCGATTTTTCCGTCCTCAAAAATTCGATTTCACGGAGCGATGACCTTCCCATTATACTTGGCTTTTTTCATTTCGAGGGAAACTTTGATTATACAAATACATTATACATATACAAAATTAATTTATTACAAAGCCTTTTATCCGGAGCTCTTTGGGTTTTACTCATTTATGACATGTAATCAGTGATCTTCATTTGCTTTTTAACACGTTGACGACCAGCCTATTTTTGCTTGTCCGCCGCGTGGGACCACGTATTTTTATCAGTAATTACGAAATCATAATCTTCTGGAACGTTCTCAACAGTTCCAGAGGGTATTCATTGAAAAAAAATCTGCATCCTGGCATCAGGACGCATTGTCGCCAACGTGTTAAAGGAACTAGCAACCGAGAAGTGGCAGTCCTCCAATTTGCCAATCGCCTCGAACAAGTCAACTGGCACTTCCCCTCGCGAAAGGAGGAATTTTCTCACATTCGACAGTGCTTTATTGGCATCGCTCAGGGATGGCGGTAGAGCATTGAGCCTTCTTCGACAGTCCGAATCAAGTGCACCTTCTCTTCGAGCGTCAGAGTTTTCAGTTTCCTCTCGAGTGGGCTCATTCCACACCAATGGCGTAAAAGAAATAGAATGTGACTAGATTGGCTCGAAGTAAGAGCGATAGAGAATGCTGGAGGTTGCTTTTCTTTATTGCCGAAGCTTTCCGGTTTTAATCCTCGAGTTTAATCCTCTCCACAGTGTGTGTGGGAGGAGGGAGAAGCAGAATAATAATAAAAAACAATAGAAACAAAAGAACATCCTTCTGAACGGGTTTCTTGTCATTCGTCCTATTCAAAAAGTCCCACAATAAAAATTTCCCCCCTCCCCCTACACACCCTGAATTCGAGTTAACCGTGAGAAAATCATTGTCTGGAGTGAAAAATGTTATTCGAGATATCCGGAAATTCGAGATAACCAAATTCGAGTTAAACGGAGCAATTAACGTGGAGTCCTACAGGATTCCATCGGGACCAAGCATCGAACTTCGAAATAAGCGGAATTTCGACTTATCAGGGTTCGAGTTAACGAGTTTTCACTGTACTTGTGCCCTTCGGGCAAGTGAATGGCTCGGTTGGCAACGAACATGGCAAAGCAGAATCTGGGTTGGAACCCAATCAAGTCAGGTGTTTATTTCCGAGTGCAAGCACCTAAGTGCTTGGGAAGGTAGACTGAACGCGATGCACTCCCATCTCAGGGATGTGGGAAGTTAAAGAAACCTGGCGGTGAAGGCCGAACCCGGGTAGCGTATCCTTGGAGTAACCGTTCGGACCGAACGGTTCCGTCAAAATCAAGGTTAGGGGTTACTCGTGTCGGCTGACGTTACAGGGGGAGGGGAGTGTTGCGATGCGTTGGGTAAGCTGGTTTAGTAACGATAAAGTGGCTGTCCCTACCATGACTAGCTTTAAGAAGGGGCTTGATGCCTTCATGGACCAAACAAAAAAGGGAGCATTGTAGCTTTTAACGACTATGCTCCCCCCCCCCCCCCCCCCCCCCCCCCCCACAAAACAA